ATGTATTACATAAATTACTTTGTTACGTTTTATGTAAATTACATTGTAACTTACGAAATTGTAATGTAACTTTACATGCATTGTCACATATTGTCACATGATAATTTTACTGACATTACAAAAGTTTAGCCAGCACTAATAGATGTCCTACAGGAGTGACTGTCAATGTTACATGACTGATCCTTCACCCGGTATGCAACATATAAAAAAACTATTTTACAATACCAGATCATTCCAACAGTACATATTATGATTATAATCTCATACCATTTTTAATAATAAAAATGGTGAGGGATTATAATCATAACATGTACTGTTGGAATAATCTGGTATTGTAAAATAGTTTTTTTATATGTTGCACACCGGGTGAAGGATCAGTCGTGTAACATCAACGGTCGCTCCTGTATAGATATCTATCATTATGTTCAGAATTACACAAAAATATATTTTTTAATTTTTATGAAACATGATATAATTTAGTCTCGAGAATTTTTTTTTAACCGTTTACGTTATTCTTTAACGTATTGTAATACAAGATGGTACAGAACGTCTACATTATAGCTGCTAAAAGTATGTATTTGGTTAATTAAGTAGCATCTATATTGTCAAACTGCAGCCTTAAAAAGATAACTTAAAAAAAAAGGAATGGCATTTGGAGCATTTGGTGGTTCTTTAAAAAATTTTATAGGTAATTCTTTAACATTTTAATCATAAAGTATTTTTATAAATAATTTTTTCACCTTAACATATTTCAATTATTAAAAAAAGCCACTGAATTAGGAGCTTTCGCAGCGTCAGCAGCGATAGCAAGTTTTAAAAAAAAGGTTCCAATCAATTCAGTATTCTTTGAAAATATTTTACAAACCGATAATACAGCTCCATATCTAGCTCATCACGTAGATTTCAATTCAGTATTCTTTGGAAATGTTTTACAAACTGATAATACAGCTCCATATTTAGCTCGTCACGTAGGTTTAAGGCCTGGTCTACCAATCAAAATACCAGTTTTAACTATAAATCGACTATGTAGATCTGGTTTTCAAGCTGTAATTAACGCAGTTCAAGAAATCGGATTAGATTTCAAATATTGGTACCGAAAATATAAGTAGATCTTTTTACACTTTATCAGCTGATCCAAGATAAGAAATCAGATTTGGTCTAGATTTAAAACTTGAAGATTCTTTAGTAGCTTGTTTAGTAGATCAATATCCTACTAGAACTCCAATGGATGTCACTGCAGAAAATTTGCCTAAAAAAATAACATTACTCGTGAACAAGCTGATAAGTACACTAAATTAAGTCAAAAATGTTAGGCTGATAGTAATCATATTATCTGATTTGATCTTATATTTCAATTTTTTATTTTAAAAAAAATTTTCATCTAATTTTGCATATTTACAGCTGATGCTGCTGGGTGTTTTTCTGATGAAATAACACCAGTTGAAGTCAAAACAAAAAAAAGCACTGCATTATTTTCTAGAGATGAGCATCCACGTTCACAAACAATTATCCAAACATTATCTAAACTACCTTTCGTATTTGTTAAAAATACTGGTGTAGTAATGGTAGATAATGAATCGGGTATTAGTGATGGTGCAGGGGCAATTATTGTAGCTAGTGAAGATACTATAAAAAAACATAGAATAGTTTCTTTAGCACAGATTGTTAGTTACTCTGTAACTGGTGTAAAACCTACTATTATAGGAATAGGTCCTATACTGGCAATTAAAGAAGCATTAAAAAGAGCCAATCTTAAACTTTCAGATATTGGGCTGGTGGAAGTCAATAAGGCC